CATCCTCTACAACATCCTCAGACAACACACACTGCCCTGACACACCAACATTTTCTACTTTATATCTGATGTCATGTTACCGATATTTTGCGAATTATATGAGCAAAGAAAGATAAAACTACCAACTATATAACTAAATAGAGGGATTTTTAGACAACATAATACAAATTTGTTTTGGTGCTAATAAATACATACAAGTTCTTTTAGACTAGCAAACACGGTATCAAAGTTTTTTTGTTAACAAAACAAGTTGTTTTGTTACCACGTTTGCTAATCTAAAATGCTTGACACTACTGAGCTACACTGGGTTGGGTTCTGGTTCAAGTGAATCATCCAGCTCCCAGTGTTACAATACCCAGGCACCTCAATCTCAGGTATTAAGATATCCCTTGGTTAGGGTTTATTTCCATTTAACTACAGGGGAAGGTTTTTTGAGCTCTGGGACTATACCCCACTGATGATACACATCTACCAGATTAGAGAAATTACTCGCTTCTGGAGATTTACAAAAATGACTCAGTGGGATTCTACTATGCTATGCTGCTTCTTCCTCTAATTTCTTACTGGATTTGTGCAGCTAAATGTTTATCACTAGAATTTCCAAGTTAAAGCAAGCTAAAAACAGAACCTAGTTTTTACTCGAACGCATTGCGGAAAACACAGTTGAGCAACCACTTCCTAAGGAGCTCCTACCCGCACTCTGCACCAAAACTGGGGAGTAAAAGAGCACAAGCTTTGGGGTTAGCATAGCTTTGTGAGCAATTACACACATATGAACCATCGAGAAGAAAACAAGAAAATATTTTTCATCACCATCTCTTTTCGTAATGCCTGGAGTCACTTAGAGCAGCAGCAAGTGCCAGGATTGAAACCAAACAAACCTCCCCCATCTGTCTGCACTGTCTACATGAGACAGCCCTGCCTGTTCCTGCCATTCCTGCTTCCCAAACCCACCTATTCCCCCTTGGTGAACCCACAAAGCCTCAGGGGTTGGCACCAGTGCAGTGGCAGCTTTGTCATTCACGGTAAATGGTGAGGAAGGTTCTGAGTACTGAAGCCCCAGAATGAGTATTTACAGCCTGACCTGGAATCTAAAATGTCTAGTAACATCTTTAAAAGCTGAGTAGCAACTTGGAAAAACATGTAGGCTTAAGGTGTCTACTTGAAATTGATTACTTCTACTAAAAACTGGGGTATGTGTGGCAGAAAAGGTTGAAGCAGCCCCTTCATCTGCAGCAAAACAAATTTTTTTCTTTTCCACTAAGTTTCCTCAGAAGAAATTGAAAGCAATCAAATACCACAGAAAAACATACGGAAATTATCGTTATGGCACAAAAACAAAAGCAGAAAAGCTTTTATGTGCCTCCTTTTAACAAAAGAAAGTCCGCTTGACTGACTTGAGCCCACGCCCCGAGGCAGGGGCTTGGTTTGGTTTTGTTGCTGTTTATTTCAGAGTTTCCCTGTTTATTCAGCTTCTTCCCTCTCCCGGTGGCAGCCAGGGCAGCAGGGCAGGAAGCTCCATCCAGGACCAACAAGCAGCCCTTGATCGTGACAGCCACTCCATGCTGCTCTTTGAAACACAGATAGCCAGGGTCCTTGTGAACCTGGAAAAAGCTTCAAGCATCCTGTAAAAGAAAAGGCAGCAAAACACCTCAGATCTTCCTTGAAAAGAATTCCTATGTTTGACCCCAAGTGTGACATTAAGCTCAAAGAAGGTGGTGGAGGTGAAGAGGGAAAAGCCAACAAGTAACACAGTCAAAGCTTGATGTAGCTGAAATGCCACTCACATGGTGGTTAAGAAACTACCAGTGTGATTTGGAAGAGAATCCTTTGCTTCTTCCCTGGAGGCTGCAGACATTTCCCAGAGATGCTGGTACAGGTACCAAATGCTTGGGAAGCATCTGGCTTCTCTGCCCACAGACAGATGCACTTGGGTGGTGTTTCAGATAATACATCCTACAATGAAGTTTAACTTCAGTGACACCAATTCCATCAGGTTCAAGCAAACTTCTTTGCTTTATACAGGCAGTGGACTGACTGAGGGATCAGGGCTGAAGGAAGAGTAACATGAACATTTAAACACATTTTTTAGCAGAAAATCTGGATACTAAACATCTTTTGCTCATTTTGACGTCCACAGCAGTGCTCTTCTTTGATCTGCTTCCTTTGGGAATGGTGTGCTTGCATTAAAATATAAATCTGGGACCCTCATTCTCCTAATCTCAAGTACACTCAGACAGCAAAAATGCAATGTGCTTTGCCATCACAGTTCTGCCCCAACAGGACCCTTTTATTTACAGTAGGAGCTGAAACACAAGTTTCACCAAAGACAGACTCCCATCAAAGTACTTGGTAAAAGAAGTCTCCAAGAAAAGGTTTTTCTCAGAAAAGTGGATTTTTAATCTAAGCAGATGTTGTCTCAAAGGATACTATCTCAATGACTGACATGAAATACCTGATATGCTTATAAAAGAACCTTGAATGATAAAGTCTAAAGAAGCTGACCTGTAAATGGGCAGCATCTACAATGCCCACTGCAAAACCAGAATAAAAAGCCTTTGACAAGCTATTCTTCACTGCTTAAAAAATAATAAAAAGACCACCACAACAGCTTCACACTCAGCTTCTTTCATAACACAGGTTCCAGCAACAACATCATCTTCTGTATTTCTTTTTTTTGTATCAGCAAGAACATCAGGTCATACATTCCCTTTTGGTCCACTCACAGGAGAGTATCATTCCCATACCACAGGGTCTGAGTTTTCTGTCAGAATTTTACAGACCACGAAGTTCTCTCTGCAGATAAACTATGGTAATCCTGTATGCACAAACCCTCCACAGCACACACGGGTGAACAACAAACCTGCCTGGATTACAAGTGATGAGAAACATTTTGGATCCTGCAATACTTTGTAACAAGCATTTCACAGAAAGCAGCAGCAACAGTAGCGCTAAAGTTGTGATGATCAAGATTAAGTTCAATAATAGCTACAGGAAGATACAAGCTTAGTCTAAGTCTACCCCATGAAGTTGAAAAATAGGCCCTCAGACTTGCATGCCTCCTCGTAAGGAAACCACAGAAAACTGGAAAAGTTATTCTAAATATTTCATTCATTATTGCAATCACAGAATCTCTCAAATTCTTTCAGCCTAGGTAAGACATTCTTATATCAGCTGGACTGATTTTTGTACTGATCTGAACTTCCTCCTTTTCACAGCTGTTAGGAACAGCCCACCCACTACCCAGGTCTTGGCAGTAAGGCTCTTCCAGATGCCTCAGGACAGAGAAGGGAGCAGACTGGTAGGTAAACACTCCTGGAAAAGCAGCAATGAAAGAGGCTGTGAATAACTAATACCTGCCTACCCACTGAAGCACACTAATTATAGAGAATAATTGAACAACTGCTTTCCTTACTCAGGGAGGTGCAGATAAGAGGCATGGGCCTTCTCATACCTCAGATGGGAGTTTAAAGTGCTCTCAGCTGGCAGCAATGCATAGAAAAGTCACCGGCTGTGACAATTAACAGCTTCATTTTAAGTCTCTTTTGTTCAAGTAACTCTTCCACTCAGACATATTACATGAAACAGCCCTTCCTCAACTAAACAGATTTATTCAAGGCACACAGCTACAACCTGAATGTAAAACCCATAAGGCCCTTGCTGTTGGGAAGCAGCCACACTGTGTTTTAATGCTGTGGAGTTAAAGGTGTAAAGTGGACCAGGGGTCCGGTGTCCTCCTACAACCTCAGCAATACTTCACTGTATCCACTCATTCTATTTAAAACCAGATTCTCAGGGAAACTCAGAAACAAAGCCATGCATCAGCCTGCAGAGGAAAGGGAGAGATGTCTACAAAATTAGTTGCTTCAGGACACGCACAGACATGTGAAAAATGACCTAGAACTTAGGGTAAGCAGCAAATCCTCAAATGAGATGTAAAGCAAGGTATGGATAGATTTCATTTAAGTAGTTGTTTACTAGCAGCATTCCAGGAAAAATGTACTTCAATTAACAGTCCTATGGTGATCTTATCTACAGTCTGTCCACTCAGTGCTCCTTGGAACTGGATGCATGGTGGGAATTGAATCTCTTTGTGGGAACAGGTGTGAGCATCTGCTGGAGCTGTGTGCAGCTCTGCATTACCTCTGTTCCAAACACAACACAACCTTCATTAAAACCTCTCTTCATTAAAACATCTCAGTTGTGAGATTTTTGTGCCACTTGCTGCCTGAATTTGAAAAAAGAAATAACACCTTTTTCTATAATACACTTTACACAGAGGCTAAAAAGGGACTGCTTGCATAACAAGTCTTATGCAATTTCCCAAATAATTGTCTATCTTTGTAGGGGGGGAAGATTATGATGACTTGAAGATTTTCAAGGCTGCAGATTTGGGTTCAAAAGCTAAGAGTCCACATGCCATTCAAAATCTTACTGACAATTATTGTTACCACATCAGCACCCAAAGATCCCATCAGGAACAGTCATCCACTGTGTAATAACAAATACACAAAATACACAATTTACCACCAGAGTATAATCTCTAAAGAAGAGGCTGACACCAGCTAAAGAAAAACAAAACCAAAAAATATCACTGAAGCACAACTTTAACTTTATGAGCCATCTTCAGCCTGGAGTACTTTGCCAGAACAAATACAGTAGAGAGTGTCTCATGTGGAAAGCCTAGACTAAGAAAGAAGCCCACTAAAATACCACACAAGTGAATGATCAACATGAAGATGTTTAAAAACAAACAGCCTTCACACTGTAAACAAGCAGGTATTTTAAGTCACAAACAATCCAAGTAACTCAGAGAGCAAAAACAGAGAAGTAAAGAATGAAGCCCAAGCAGCAGGACAGAGAAAAATAAGAGAGGCAAGGGACTTGTCTAACAGAAATTCTAACAAATATTTTCACAGGTCTGAAAAAATTTTTCTCCTTAACTTTTTTTGCTGTTTTTGTGACTTGGCCTTTTCTCTCCACAGGTGTTTCTCTGGTTTCCACTCAGCCCCAGTGCACAGGGCTGGCAGTGACACCGACCCTGCTGTGGAACAGAACAACCAAGCCCTGCTCCAAGCAGGAATCTCAAACCCCAGCCAGGGCACAACTGCAGCCTTGCAGCTGCACTGGGAATATGCTGGGAGTGTCAGTGACCCAGAAAGGAAAAGAAGCCTTAAATTCATTTTCATTGAAAATTGAGGAGGTCCACTGCAAGTTTCAGATCTTGGAGGCCCAGGGGATTTTCAGCAACAGCTTCAGCTGGGTATCAGGGAGCAGAAGAGGGACATCAACTCTGGCAGAGACAGCATCCATCCCTCCAGAAACTACAGATATTATGACATGTTCACAACTGAGCTAATCAGTCTCATTCCAAACAGAAGCTGCATTTATCATCTCAGAACAGCAGACTTTTTTCTTCATTATCCAAGGTCAGTGGCAGTGAATATTGAGCAAACTGACTTGGGGAAGCAATATAGATAGAAACCAGGAGAGCAAGCAACCTTACATTTGATTAGCAATAGTATTCCATTTTAAAATAAAGTAGCTCTTTTTAGAGAGGACAATTGCTTTCTAATTAATCACCAATCAATCACCAACCAACCAATCACATTTGATAAGGTACCTTTTTAGAAACAGAAATACTAATTTCTGTACCAGAAAAAGTCTACCTTTTCCACACAATCACATAGGTTGGAATAGATCTTTAAGATAGAGTCCAACCCTGCAGTGCCAGGTCCACCACTAAACCATGTCTCCAAACACCACACCTACACATCAGCCAAGAGAAAAAAAACATTTTTTAGATGTTGGAGTGCAAAGGTTTAAGACAACTGAAGTGTTCAGCAGTCAGAGCAACACCTCAGAATTTTGATCACCATCTCTGTGTATGTAAGATATTCACATATAAAAAACCTGAAAGCATTACATCTCCAATCCAATCCCTACAAGACAGGAGGTCTGAGGTGCACAGACTCACCTGCTGCCTTGCTGAAATACACAGCTCTGCCTGACAGGTTTGAGCTTGTCACAAAGCAGAAATTACTCTGGAAGGCTCAATAGCCATTTCAGCTCCCCTAAAAACACAAGTGGTTAAGGGCTGACAGGTACTGCACAGCAGAAAGGTATTGCATAATTGCCCTGAAATGTCTATTCAAAAACTCCACAACAGAAATGAGCATTATTCTCAGGAGCTGGGGAGGTTTTTGTGTGGCATTCATAATTACACAGCAGCCAAAGATTTCTGCAAACACAACATGAGCAATGTTCTTGGGTTGCCCAGGGCCTGATGAGAAGGACATCAGAGAAAAGGAAGGGAAGGGGAAAGCTGCAGAAAGATTTCTCCAGAAGTCTGGTGAGGGAACTCACACATCAGCAACAAACCTGCTCTGACCATAATAGTCCTGGGACAAAAAGCATCATCACCCTTTAACAGTGGTCCTCAGGCAATGCAGGGATTGCATGGGGCTGTGTTCTTTCCAAGTTACATCCTGGCTTCCTAAGCTTGTTGGGTACATTATATAACTATTAATTACACCACTGTTCAGAGTGCTTTTAACTGCAATGATTCAAACTGCTTCCAGGAGCTCACTAATCCAAAGTACAATCCTCTTGACAGCAACTGACAGATTCAGAATATTCAGTTCTAGCTGAAAGGAAGACAAATCAAACCCCTCATCTGTCTGCTGCAAAAAGAGCCAATATTCCTGCTGACCAGACCCACAGCTCCGTCAGGGGCTGGGACATGCTGTCCATGGGACAGCTCTGGGCAGCAGCAAAAGATTTCTTCCCAATGACCACCTTCAAATTTATAGTGAAAAGAGAAAAGCGGGTCTGGTTTGCATTTCCTCAGAGGCATTGAAAGGTTTCAGCCATCAGCTCCTGGACCCAGCAGACACCCTCCTTGGACACAGACTCTGCCCTTCCCAGCCACTCTGCCAGCTGGGACCTTCCCTGCAAGCTCCAACACAATTCTACATGCATTATTTATCCCTCCTGCTAAGTCATGCAGTGGGATAATTACTTAACTATTGTAATGATATTTTGCAATGGCTGTACTGTTATACTGATTTTCATGAGCTTGCTTTTGCTGCATGTTTTGAGAAAAGAGCGTATTTTCCTGGAGTATAAAAAGGCCCAAGTCTGATTCATTTTAAGCATAAGAGCTAGATGTCAAAAGTGAATTTTTAGAATTATCAATGTATTCTTAATTAAAACAATGTTAGTATATTACCTGATTTCTGATGTATCTGCTAACAACCACAGAAGACATGTTTATTCATTAATCTAATGAAATTTGAAAATAGTTATTAACAATTTGTACATGTTAATGACAAAGTTTTTCCTCCTAAGAGAATGATGTTTTCCTTTTAAAACTCTTCAAGACTTCAGTTAGCATAATTACAAAAGCCGAGAGACCGGCAACATTTTTATTAACAAACTTAAACTCAAGTCAAGACACATTTGCATGTCTTGCTTACCACCACATTAAACTTACTGGGATAAATGCTCATCTTCAGACTCAGAGAAGTGTTACCGTAAAACACTGTTTAGAATCAGTTTTTTCTATATACTCAACATGATGTAAGCTACACAGCAGAGCAATTAAACAATTATTTATGTCTCCGTACCCCCAGGATGCTCTTCAGGCTATGCATGATTCAAGGTGTACTCGCAGCAGTTACCAGCATTTCAAAAAATTCAACAATCCCAGTAGTTCAAAACTGGTCAGAAAACTTTTTCTGCCTGGAGCCAGCAGTTCTTCCAGGAGGAACTTCACTTTAAAAGCTGTTAACAATAATACCCTGAACTGGCACAAGCAGGGAAAGCAGCAAGTCACGATAATCGACCTGTCTTACCTACTAATAATCTGCTGGCTATACAAGCAAAGACATGGATACAACTCCAGGGAGAAGGAATGTAATCTTTTTGATACAAGTGAACACATAGATGAGGCTCGTTGAAAACTGTAGCTCTGCAAAATTTGCTGAATCTCTTGGGTTTTTCTGGGTATTTTGTTATACTCTGCTTGAAAACAAGAAAATTTTTGGTCACAGAGGTGCTCTCTTTAAAAAAAATAAACCCCAAACCAAACAGAAAATAACCAGATCCAGAATTGTAGCAGTCTCAGGCCCTGTTCAGATTTTAGAGGCTCCAGGAAGACCAAGAGCAAAGAGTAGTCTGAGGAGTGCTCTGCTTACATGGACACAGAAAATGCTATTTCCTAAGGACTTTGTTTAGGGCTTTATTCAACACATTTCTCAAATCTTTTTTTATCTATTAAAAACATCTACTTGAACAAACAGTCTTGGGAAAAAAAGCAAGATCACAAAAGACAACCATGTTAAATTTCATCTCAACTTATTCCCTTTCTTCTCAGTGCATCAATCCCAGAGGCCTGATCCAGCCCTTGCAGCTGACAGCAAAGTGCTGCACTGACTTCTACAGCCTCTGGACATGACTCAAAAAATCAATGCAAGGAGCAAAAGGTCACATTCTCCCCAAGCATCAACTACCTGTTGAACCAAGACAGACTTGCAGATGCCGGCACACTTGGACATAAAGCGACCAACTGTTATTAAATTTATTTCTAAGTACAATATCTGTATCCCCACACCTGTGACTAAATAAACCTGCTCCTCACACTACACCTTTGTGGGGGAAAAAAAAAATAAACCACTCATGCTTGTGACAGCTTTTATAAACAAGTAAGTGCAGTACACAGCTGTACAACTTCAGAGTTTTGAATTCAGAGTGCCAGTGGGAAAGTTAGTCTGGCTTAAAACTCAAAAAAAAAAAAAAAAAGGCAAGACAGGAAAAACTAGAGAGATGGAAATAAAACCAAACTACTGCTCAGTGCTATCCTTCACTGTCCCTGCACATTAGGGAAAACCCTGAAAACTATAACAGGTACATTATTACAGATCTTTTTCCATTACCTGCTTGACATCTGGGCCACTGGCAGCACGAATGCCTCTTTCAGACACAAGAAGTGAGACTGTCCTGTGTTTTACATCTTTTTAAGTGCACAGGCTGAACACAAAGGTGTGATCTCCCATGCACTCACCGAGTAGGTATGCAGCACACGGGCATGATATCCTACCCATGCTGTTTGTCATTGATTTTTCTATCAGTTTGTTAACTTGTAATTGGAAAAAAATTCATCCCCTTCACAGAGACAGAACAGTTTTTCCCCACCAGAAAGTTTCACTGCTGCTTTCTTGAATGCTGATTCAGGTGTCTCAGCCCAGCAGTGTAAATTCCTTGTACATTCCCAGCTGATGGAAGCCAGGAACCTCAAGGAACCCTTCAGAATGCAAATGTGTGGTCCCAGCTGGCAGAGGTGCTGCCAAACTGTCGCTGTCAATAAGTCATCTAATGAAGCTCAAAATTTCAGTTTGAGCTCTGCTATTCCAGCCAGTCCCTGTGGACAGCCCCACAGTCCCATGGATGCTAAACAAAGCTTGTCTCAGATGCATCAGATCTTCCCGACCTCAGAAGTTAAGCAACTTACAACTAACTTGGGTTGCTCACATCCGGCAATAAGCACTCCTAATTAATGACTCTTAATTGCTGCCAGAGCCTCTATTCCCACACCCATGACAAAGCATGCTCTGCAAACCCCTATGTAAAATTGCACAACTCTGACAACCCCATGCCTTTAGTACCACACAGCTGAGCCATTCCTCTTCAGGAGCAAACACATCACTGTACCCAAGAGAAAAGAAGTGTACAAAAAGTACCCACCACACCATTCCAGCAGCTCAACATCACTTGCTTTCTCACTGCCCTTTCTCTTTTTTTTTTAACCATCATCTATACAGTTCAGAGAAAGGAAAATAAATACTGTTTGCTCAAAGTCTGACTTCACTTGCAGTTTTGAGAAGACATTTCAGAACCTAAAGTGCTTCCCAAAAATGAACTTTACTTCATATAGTCTGTAGTGAATTTACTGTACAGACAGGTAGACCTATGCAGCTGAGTGACCTAAATGTCCAGATTCACAGCAAGTTAAAGCTTTTTTTTCTCCCAAAAAAGTCATGTCCGAGCTGCCAGACCCCTGCTCACAGTGCTGGAGGGTACAGAAACACCCACCAGCCACTCAGAACAACCCTGTCCTCCCAACATTTCCAGCTTCTGTGTGTGCCCTGTTGGAACTGACCATCTCTGGACACAGATCCTGCTTACACGAGCTTTGCAGCCTTGTATCCCACAACAGGAGCACTCCTGCCCAGCTTGAGGGAAATCCATGCTTGCTCCTGACGGGATCATTGCTGTGGCTCCCAAGAGCCCAAAAAGGAGCCAAGTAGCCATGGAAGAACAGCAGTTTGCAGGTTAACTCACCCTCCCTGGGTGTCCCTGGACAAGCCACCCTCCCCCAGTGCCTCGTGCTTTGCCTTTTGCTCTGACAGAAGCCCAGTGCCACCAGACTGCTGCAGTAACTTCTGCACCCAAGGGCTTCCCTTTCCACACTTCTCCTCCAATTAAGACCCACTGCCCTTCAAATCAGCTGCCTGTCTCTTCTCCACTAGTCTAGCTACCTGTGTGTAAAACCAGAATAATTCACCGTTTTTATAGGCAGCATTTTTACATGATGCAGGTTTACAAATTGCTAAGATTACGCTGGATCACAAACATTTCCTAAAGCTTATTAAATATTTCTGTTAAACTGATCCACACCCACAGATAACAAATGAAAATGGCTTTATTTCTCTTCAAGGCACCTGTAATAAGGCAGCAATGGCAGCAAACAGGCACCAGCCAGCTCCCTGGCCCTATTAGCATTACAGAGGAAAGCCTCCCCTTCTGCTGCTAATGATGTGCTCTACCCTGTATCCCCAGGAGACAAATGACTGCACTGGCTGATTGACTCCATCACAGGGCCATCATCCATCAATGTATTGCCTCTCTTATTGAAATCTCATCTCAGGAAGAGAAAGTGCTCTGTGCTACTTCCGAAAAAAACAGTGAAAGCACTTTCAGAATAAGAGCTCCCAGATATGTAATGAGAGCCAAATATTTCAGCAGGGACACACATTTCCAGCAACCTGAACAGATCAGCATGCTTTGTCCACCCAGGACAAGTAAGATTTATGTCCTTCTGCTAAACTAGATCTTTTTAATTAAACAAAGGAATGAAACACGTACCATAGACATGAATTTCTTGATCAAATTATAATACAGACAGTGAATAGAATAATACAGATTAAAAATGGCATCCTGAGGATATTTAGGTAGCTGACTTCCTAAAGGGTGAATTCCAGCATCTCTTACATAGGCTGAAATCACATTAGCATCATACAAGCCCCACTGTCACCTGCAAACAGAAGTGGAAGAAAATATAAATGCTTCCAATAATTTATTTACTACATAGATAACAACAACAATGACAGCAATTCTATTCCATTAATAAATACCCCTATAATTTATAAAACACTGCACACATGAGATTGGGGTACAGGGAGTAACCCACACTCTCCACTCATTGGGGGCAGTTTTCTGATCAACTTTACACCACTGAAGCCACCAAATCCCAGGAGTTCTCCATCCTCTGTCCACCTCCCCAAATCAACCATGTGAAGCTGCACATGAATTACCCAGACACAGTTCCACATGCTCAAAAATAATTTAGTTCAGATAAAATATTTTAGATTATGATCAGTCTCACTTCTGTCTACTCAAAAATATAAATCTGAAGAAGACAGCTTTATCTCAGGCAAGATATTTCGTCTCACTTAGCACCTCTGCATGTTACAAACAATTCATTATAACTCTGAAATCCCCATAAACAATCTGCTCGAGAAAACATGTCTAAACATTTATTCCTTGTTTAGCCCTAAACAAAATCCAAAACTGACTTGTTTTGCTTCCATTTTATTTAAAGACAACCAATCTGGTAAGATCCTAAAACTAAAATTTTTGGAACTTCTGAACAGAGAATTATAGAATGGCCTGGGTTTGAATGGGATTCTAAAGATCACCTTGTTCCAACCACTCTGCCATGGGCAGGGACATCTTCCACTACCCCAGCGTGCTCCAAGCCCTGTCTAGCCTGGTCTGGAACAGTTCCAGGGATGGGGCAGCCACAGCTTCTTTGGGCAACCTGTGCAGGGCCTCACCACCCTCACACTATGAAGAGTTTCTTCCTAATGCCTAACCTAACCCTGCTCTCTGTCCAGTTTGAAGCCATTCCCCTTGCTCTGTCCCTTACACACCCTTGCAAAAATTCCCTCTCCAAGTTTTTAGCACCTTTATCCTTGTGGCATAAGGGTGTGCTCCACAATCCCCAGCCAGTGCCTCAGGAAAGACCACATAGTTCAAATCAGGCCTCCTGGTTTCATGATCCATATTTTAGATCCCTACAAGCCCTTTTCCGTGTGAACTTCCAGTATGATTTAACAGAAGATTGGCTGTGGGTGTACTTTGAACTTTCAGAAACACAGAGAAAACTTCAGGAATAAAATATTATCGAAGCCACACCCAGTTTTAAGCAATTAATTTTGGGAGAATTTGAGATTCACATGCTTTGGAACACAATGAGTTACTGAACAGTCAAACAAAACCCAGTGGGCCAGCAAAAACAAGTGATGCTTTTCTCTCTTACTTATATTTGAGCCAGCCAGAATTACTACCTTTCCCATGTCTAACAGGCAGTGATTTTGCTGGTGTACCAATTAGCACTCTGCTACAAAGAACATGCTCCTAATTAATAGCTAGTTTATGGGAAGAGCAATGTTAAGGTTGTACCTCCAGATGCACCAAAAAGTGCAAAAGGAGCTCTGCTTGATGTAAAGGAAATCTGTCTGCACAAAGAGACAATCAATGTATTTAGCATATGTCAGCTGTAAAAGGAACTTACATAAATGTAATGGAGGCATTTCTACATTATTTCTGTTGTATCCTGTAATCCTGGACATCTGCTTAGGGTAGCATGGATAGGCTACCCAGTGTTCCTGGTCTGCTTTTTTGCTGTGCCCTTAACATAAAGTGGCAATAAGGGAAATTTGCCCTTACCTGTCTGAAACAACTTTAAATAAACATTCAAAAACCCTCCAGTAAGACCCCTTCTCTCTGGAAATGACCAAATTTTTCATTTTACCTTGTGAAGAAACAGCCCAGTGCAAAGAGACAAAGTACAGCTGCATAACACAGCCACAGAGAGAGTTTGTATGAATCCTATTTCAGGTCAGAGCTATGCATTACAAAACCCAGCACACCTTGCAAGTGACCTACATTGCAGGACTGGAACCCACTAACCTACAGAACCACCTGAAATCCCACAAAATAGGTCAGTGGGTTTCCTCCAAAGAAGAATTCCCCAGACAAGGAGAGATGCACGTGAAATAAAGGACAAGCAGAGCACACGCTTTGCCTGACGCAGGAGCCACGTGCCTCACTCTGCTGCCATATTCCTGCAGACTGCAGGACTCCCCACAAGTGCTGTGAACTTCTGTGTTCCTCACCAAGGGACCCTGGAAGGACCTGTCTGTTTGTTCAAGAACAATGGAGCAGGAAGAAAGGGAGCAGTACCATAGCAAGGAACAGTAAGCCTCCCAGTAGTGCAAAGCAGCTGGACTATGAGTGACACCCAATTCAAGATGAGCAGTGAACTCGCCTGGAGTTATGGCAGGGGTGTCCAAATTAC